CCCCCACTCTCACTCCCATCCCCCCCCCCCCTCCCATATATTCGAACCTCACGTGCACGCAACTACATGACTAAATGCTTAATTTTTGTATTGTAAATGTTAAAATGTTTTATATATTAAGTCAGACAACCTGACAAGGAGAGCATAATATGAGAAATTTTTTGAATAAAAAGCTTAACACCATTCAAACTATAAGACAGAACGGCAAGGCCAAATTTATGTTAAATTCATGATACGACTCAGTGACCTCTTGCTCCTCTGATTGCTCGCCAAAAATTCAATTTTTCTAATCCCTATATCTTTGCAAACTGATCTCATACAAAAGCTATGATTTCTTTTCGATGAAATAGTTTAAAATACCAAATTTTTACACCATTTATGTTAAATTGATGATACGACTCAGTGACCTCTTTGCTCCTCTGATTGCTCGCCAAAAATTCAATTTTTCTAATCCCTATATCTTTGCAAACTGATCTCATACAAAAGATATAATTTCTTTTCGATGAAATAGTTTAAAATACCAAATTTTTACACCATCAGGTTACAAAATTCTTCTTCTGATTGGCCATTCAGATTGTGAATAATTGGACCTGCTTGTAATTAACGACGCAAAACTTATAATTACGTTTATTAAATTAACCTGTAAGGTATTATTGAGGAACCTTGAGTTCGATATTGGGTTGTATCTTGTAAAACATACGGAAGGTTTATATCTGGAGAGGTACGGATCTAAAACTATTTATTGGAGTAGGGCATTTACTACAAAATTACCTGTTGAGGACAATCAGACCGGCGTGAAATGATCTGTTTGAGGACAGCTAGAACAGGGTGCAAGGATCTACTTGAGGACGATTAGACGGGCGTAAAATGATCTGTTTGAGGACAATTAGACCGTCGTGAAATGACCACCTGTTTGAGGACAATTAGACTGGCGTGCAAGGACCTGTTTAAGGACAATAAACCAGCGTGCAAGGACCTGTTAAAGGCTATTAGACCGGCGTGCAAGGGCCTGTTTAAGGACAGTTAAACTAGCGTGCAGTTGGAGCTGTTTGAGGACATTGGACCATCGTAAATGGAACCGTTTGAGGACAGTTAGGCCAGCGTGCAGTTGGACTTGTTTGAAGAAAAATAGACCAGCGTGCAAGGACCTGTTTAAGGACAATTAGATCGGCCTGAAATAACCTGTTTGAGGACAATTAGCCCGAAGTACAATTGGACTTGTTGGAGGACAATTAGACCAACGTAAAATGACCTGATTAAAGGCAATTAAACCGGCGTGACATGACCTGTTTGACGACAATTAGATCGGCGTGAAAGGACCTGTTTAAGGACAATTAGATCGGCGTGCAAGGACCATCTGCCACTATTCTATTGTTTCCCTGTGCTACTACTTTTTAACACATATCCTACGCAGGGGCAACAATTACAACAGAATAAATATAGGAAATATTATTTAGTTGGGAAAATGTTGGGAAATAGTGAGGACTAGAAGTGAGGACCATGTATTATTGTTATAATGAATAAATTCAACAGACGGACAGGATTAGGTAGGTTATAACATAGTAATAATGAAACAACATTGTTATAATAACATGATAAGAACTTGGTAACAACATTTTAATAACATGATTATGGTAACAACATGGTAACACCATGGTAACAACATGGTATCAACATGGTAATAATATGATAAGAACATGGTAACACCATGGTAACAACATTGTAACACCATGGTAACAACATTGTAACAACATGGTAACAACATGGTAACAACATGGCAACAACATGGTAACAACATGGTAACAACATGGCAACAACATGGTAACAACATGGTAACAACATGGTAATAATATGGTGACATGGTAACAACATGGTAATTATATGGTGGCATGGTAACAACATGGTAAAAACATGGTAATTACATTGTAACAACATGGTAACAACATGGTAACAACATGGTAAAAACATGGTAACNCAACATGATACCAATATAGTAACAACATGGTAACAACATGGTAACATGGTATTTACTGGAAACTATCAATTACTTCAAATTAGCAAATCTTTAAACAAATGTTTTCACAAAAATTCACCAAAATAATTATCTCAATTGACTAGAACCGTTAAGTATCAAAATACACACTTTTTGGTCGTTTTCCATTTTACAAAATCAGAATTGACCATTTCTACAGTTAAAGCCGGCAAATTCACTAAACTAACATATCAAAGACTATAAAGACGAGCTCTGTCAGTAAACATTGTGAATGGTGGCGAGGCAAGGAATTTTTTTTGAATCCATTCTGAACAATCTTAGTTAATTGGGTCTAGATTGCATCCTCTGCCTAGTTATGCCCTAAATTTTCCAGCCAGAGGNTATTTAAGGAAAAAATCTCTGTTGATTGATGAAGATACAATTGTAACGTAAAATGTAGATGTTTATTTTGCTTTTAAAATGATTTATTTAGATTTTAAATGTACTTGAATGCACTATTGACTGCTTATTGAGGGCAGAGAACATAGTGTATTTATCTCTTTTAAATGTTTCGAGAAGCTGTAAGTCTGTAATTTACTAATTTGTAAAATTACAGGTGTAGTTTCTGCCAGCCTTCTTGTGTATCTAAATCAAGCAATGTACTCCATGCAGTACAGTACCCACGACCCTGCCAATCCCGAGGTTATGCAGTACACATCAAACGAGACCATGCTCCAGGATCCATATTTGGAACTAAAAAAGTTTCTGCGGCCAAATTTTGAACTAAAATTCTTAATTGAACCTCTGCCATGTCTTCAACCAACCAAAGGAATTATTTTAGGTCAGTTTCGTTTTGTAATTGATTGAAGACAAGATTTATTAGATGTATCTTGTATATATNTAGTCTTTTGTTAAAAAGCATCCGTTTGATAACAATTTGAATATAATCCAGGTTTTCCTGTGGTTAATGGAACATTGCCTATCTACTCAATACTAACTTTTTATATTGGTCTTGAAATTAACAGTTAAATATATTTTAAACATATAGTTTTGTTGCTTGGTGCACAAAAAGTTCTTAGATCAACATAGAAAAAAAAACTTAAAATGAAAATGAAAAAAGTTTTAAATATATTTTGTTGTGTTCTAGTATAGATTCAGTATTTATCCAGGGTACTTTGTCTATTATTTTCAAATATTCATCTATTGTTTTAAATCTTTGGATTTTTTAATCAAAAAATAATTGACTGAAGTCTCATCTCATTAGTTGTTATTTTTATTTATTATTATTTACTTGATGGTTTTCACAACTTTTTACGATATCCTTACTAAACTATGTATGGCTAGTCAAAGTATATATCCATTAAGCTATGTATGGCTAGTCAAAGTATATATCCATTAAACTATGTATGGCTAGTNTGGTCAACGACTTTTTCCAAAAAATAGTTGTTTATTGAATT